AAGTTTTCAAACTTCCGGCTTAAAATCTCTGGATTTTCAAGGCGTCCTTATGAAGTTACTGATATTATAAGAATTTAAGTAGTAATGTTTTCAGAACTCTAACATCGTAAATAGCACTTTTGATCACATTTTCTTTTCAATAATGATTTGTCGTACCGGTTTGCCTGTGGCTTGAAGCACACGGTAAATATCGTTTATGGAAGGGAATAGAAAGAAAGTATATATATTAACTTAGTTACTAATATTGGAAACAAACCTGGTGAAAACTATATAAAGCGCATAATGGCGTCATCCATAGTTTTCAGATATTGTTTGATATTTCTAAATTCAACTCGGTTTTTAAATTGATTTCTCAGGCTTCTTGCCAAGATTTGCCCACCAAGAAGAAGAAACAAACTGGTCATTGTAATCCGGACTACAAAGGAAAAAGATGTGAAATTCGTGAGTAACGCTCGTCTATTTAATTTAATTTTACAATTGCTTCACGGCGAAGTGCATATTTACCATATATAGTCATTTGTTTTATTATCTGCTGCAGCAAAGCCGCGAGGTTGGAATTCCAAGCAGCCTGCTTATTCCTGTAAGAGCATCCGGCACTCTGGTGACTCTAAAGGAGACGGGAGGTACTGGATCGACCCTCAGAACAGTGGAAACCCGTTGAAAGTTTACTGCGACATGACAACTGACGAAGGTGAGATCTGATCTTGAAAGTCTGAAATTAACTGTTTCTAAGTAGAAATTTAGTTCAAGAGTTAAAGAAAATATTAACTTTTGCATAAATTAGTATTAATTAGGAGGTTTTCTTCGCCTTTCACTAATCAGACCTAATAGAATTTCGAAATATTTTCAGATAAAAGCAACTTCTTAAAAGTCTGGTTATGTCTAGAGAGTGCGCTTTGAAGAACATGGGAACTGGTGTTTCCAGTTTGGAGATTCTTCAGGACAAGAAGTCCATGAAGATCTAGCTGAAATAGCGTGATTTGAAATATCTTAAAACTTTTTGACGGTTAATATCAATCTGCATTATTGACTGTTGACGGTAAAACATACCCTTTCTGACGGTTGACGGTTAAATTTTTTGCCGTTTGGCGGCTGACGGTTAACCCTATTGAAACGGCCCGTGGCATCTCAAGGCTTCACACCCGGACAACCAGGGTGAAAATAGCAACATTGTCTTGAATACGGAGCGCAAATAATTGTTCTTGCAAATGTTTATCTTAATTTAACTTTGGAAAGACCATTAACACTAGCTCATAAAGGAACTTTTTACACCTTGTACATGGCCGCAGAACACAGGTGGCCAAGTTTCGCTGCAAGTTAAGTCGCCAATTTTTTTTTCTTTACTCGCCATGGCCACCAAAATGGTCGCAGCTTGGAGCGCTGAATTTATTAGAGTTTAAAATAATGTACAATTTATTGATTTAAGTTAAGCAGTCACGTGTAATTGTTTTTGTAAACAAAATTTTACAGCCAGTAATGCAGGCGTTTTCTCAGAGCTTGGGGTTCGTTGGATTACTCTTTTCTGATGCTCATCTCTGCTTTCAAAATAAGATTTTCCCTTGTACAACAAAAAAATGCTAATTTTCCAGAGCACAACGTAAATTCGTCATAGGCAGTTTCAATGGTGAATCCAAAGGGCACCGGAGGTACTGGATCGACCCTGAGAAGAGTGGAAATCCGTTGAAAGTTTACTGTGGTCGACATGAGAGTTGTGAGATCTGCTCTTAAAAATCTGTTCTTCACATGAACTCACTCCCTTCAACAGAATATTAGTTAAAACTTGGGAAGCCTAAGACAGATCAGGACAATAATTATCAATTACTGGATAAGGATGAGTGTGATATAAAGAATTATACAGATTTGCCTCGGCAAAAGAGAAAACAGACATTGTTTGCTGCCGGGTCAGTTTTTCTCTAAATTATACCTGTACCTTTAAAAACGGTTGTTTTTCCTTATTAAAAAACAACTTTCCATTTCAGGAGGATGGCTCCTCGTTTCCAACGTTGTGATTGGTTCAACTCCTCCCTCTCAGCTGCCAGTCAAGACTTCATACCGTGGAATAACCAGTGATCAGATGGTTCTCACGAAAACCGCCATGAATGAGCTGAGAACACACTTGTCTTTCACCCAGCTGAGATTCCACTGCTTTAAAAAATATGGACGTACGTTCCACGTTACCACTGCTGCCAACAGCAGCGGTGAAGCTGTAGTCCAGTACTTCAGCGGTCAGACAGATGTCCAGCCCGCCTCGTGTGGCTCATATGTCATTAGGGAAAATGACAACTCAAGGCTGGCAAGAGTTTGTCAGAATTGGGGATTGGAAAATGGCGTGTACACAGTTGGCAAATGGGGTCATGGTCAAAATCAAGACAGGCTGTATATATATTCTGCTTTCATAGTTAGCGAATATCATTGGTACATGAACCCACCTTATTTTTTTTGCGATGATAAAATCCCAAATCCAACATCTGGTGATTTCTGGAAAGTCTATGTTCGCTAAGAACTCGCAAAATTGATTGCATTGTCTAAATATGTATCTTATTAAGATACTTTCTTTGTATAGTTTTGGAGTGAAAATACGTTGGGTAGCAGTTATCATGTGAAAAATCAGATACTAAGTTAGATATTTAGAGAACCTTTTAAGAACTAATGTTCATTTGCATTTTATCCTCGTTTTTGGCTTCTATTTATTAATTCGTGTTTTCCTTATTTTCTCTTATTTATTTAAGCTTGCTTAATTAGGCTTTTTGCCTGAAGTTTTACCCGCTTTTCACATTTATTAACATTTTCAAGTATATAGCTGCAATATTTTTTTATATATACAACCTTTCACGTTTGCCTTTTATCGCTGTTTGTTTGCATTTATTCATTAAAATCAAGTAGCAACTAAACGTTATTCCTAGAGAGTGTAATGAATGCAAGTAAAGCGTGTGCATTCACTCGCTGAGCTGATGTAGCGATGTCGAGTTTTAAGAGGCAATGTCCCTAAAAGCGTTCCACTCGATTTCAGACTCGAAAACTCTTTTGGCTCATATTTATATCATCAATACCACTATCCATCCTCATAACGAAAATGCAGTTAGAATGACGAAATAGTTTATTTTACTGCCATTATCAGCATTTCATCTCTGAACGACCGTTACCGGCTAAAATATGCAAATTTTAGACGCTGTTATTCAGGTTTTTAACGATCGTTAAAAGCTACTGCGGGCCGTTAAAACCTAGACCATTTGCACTCATTTGGAAGTATATTGCTTCTTCTTACTGTTCCAATACGATTTAGCCGTATTTCTCTGTAATCAGCAAAAACAGGTTATCGTTATTCTCGTAATTCAATTAAGTAAGCAAACTGCACCAAAATATGCCTCAGAAATTTCACAAAATTCTTAGAAGTGGCACCTAACCTAGACCTAAAAACATGTTTTAGTTAAAGATAAAGAGGTATTCTATCAATTTATGCAATAAAACTTGTGGCACAACGCGATTCAGACTTGAAGGTTTCGACTCAAATTTACATATTGATGCAGAATTCGCGTTGCGTGACACCGGCTGCTTCGACGGGAAATTTCTCCAAATACTTGCCGCTCGGAAGTAAAATATGTTTTTTTAACCGCAAAAAATTATTTTTCTTCCTCTTCTTCCTTTTTCAATAAATAGATCTTCAGAAATATAATTATTCCTAAATGTTCAGCAGCCAGACCTTAATTTTTATTTACTAAATAAATCGTTTTAACGCTTTCATTGGAAGCATAGTCACAGGCGAGACTTTAGAAAGGTCATCGCATTTGCTTGTTGTAATATTTTGTTATAATTATTGATATTATTAAGCTTAAAAATAATAAAAAATGCCATTAGGCAACTTTTTTTGTACTTTATTTACAGGAAAACTGAACGGAAGAGTAGACCATTAAGTTTACTTACCTTTGCCACTAACCTTTGTTAGTCTCGCCCTTCCAAACGTGCTTTATTCGGCATACAACAGTTGCGTTTTTAGGGAACATTTTTTTTACCGGTAAAATTAAGTATTAACATTTTACAGCGGGCAAGTCCTTCACGAATTGACCTTTACGCTGTATGGGACGAGAGTACACGGTAGTCCTTAAAGATAACTTGTCAAAATGGGGATTGGACTCCAAAAGCCGAGGAATCGAAAACCAGAATAGGGTGTCTATTCACGTCTAGTCCACATTTTAATTACATGTCTATGAATTCCCATCACGACTAAACTGATTGCTATTTTTGCTTGAAAACGGTGAAATGTGTACAGTCAATGTCTAGATACCTTAACTTAAGCAACTTTAGTAATAGTAGGTCATATAGTACATTATTAAGGCATGATGAATCAACCAACCACTAATCGCAAATATAATAGGCCGTGCTACACGTTGTCAGTAGCTTAAGTTCGATATATGAAAATTCTAGCATCAGTCATAATGGTCTATTTCAGTCTGTATTTGGTTTGTTATTCTATGTGCTTTCTCTTCTGGGAATTCCGAGACAGACTGGACAGTTGAAGATCGAGCCTTGAATTCTAGTTGGAATTTTGATTTCTCGAACTTTGGTTATTCCGTGATGGACAGTGAGTTAAGTGAGCTCGACAGTGTTCGATTGGCGGGTTTATAAGAAAACAATTAGATTATTTAAATATTTTATCGAATTAAGCGTCTCCGTTTCGTGTCATCGCGTAAAAGTCACATAACAAATGCGAAAAAACTCAACCTGGCAAAGAATTTTCGAAAAACAAAAAAATAACTAAGACTTGCACAATAAAAGCTTAATTAATTCAGTTACAAGAAGAAATATTGTTGTCCCCTTTGTTTGATAAAAGGGACAGTCCACTCTTTTCAGCAGGTGCATTCTTGGATAACCTCCGTTAACAACCTACTAATAAGGTCTGTCTTTCTATCTTTTGCTCGAAAAGGTGCTTAAGGCCCGTAGCTTTCCTTCCTTGTGATAGGCGCAAAGATCATATGTGTCATATACTATAGTCCAATTCTGCTTTGAATATCGTCAAGCAAATTGTTGCGATCAGAGTCTCCAATGAGGGCGTCGATGTCGTCATTCTCATCTGCTGTAAAATCAAATGTCTCTTCCTTTGATATAGCATCCTGACCGCGAGTTCTCTGCCGTGAAGTGAGGCGTGAAAAAAAAAACATTATTCGGGTCTTGGTGAGCCACTCTTCTCTTTGAAACAATCTTTCATTCCGTTCATTTCTGGCATTGCGCATTTGACGTTCGATCTCTTCTGGATTGGCTTTTTTTGCCCGTTCTTTCTCCCATTTCAAACCTTGTTGTAAGGTACCGTCTCACGTTCTCAGAAAAACGAACTCCGCCAGTTCTACCTTTGTTAAGAGCCCATCCGATACTTAGACGAGAATTTGTGCTGTTAACAGTCAGACCAGTGGCGGATTTGTTGCTTGTTAACTTCTGGTTCTCAATAGAAGAAAATTTTTCAGCCCAGTTTTTCCGTACTTTATCATAAAGACTTTCCGACTTCCTGTTATCATGTATTCCTACGTCTGTATGCAACTCAAGTTCGGAGAAAGAGTCAAAAGTGCAATTACAGCCTTCTTCAGGGCACACAAACATCGATGGCTGATCATCAATTTCAACGTTGTCTTTCCTTGCTTGACACTTTCTTGGGCGATGAAGGTCTCTTATTTCTGTGTTGGTGAAGAATCCTTTTCCCTCCATTAATGATATATTTGTGCAGCCCTGGTGCCGTATGTACAAAGATTGCCAAGGGATAAGCTTGCCGACCCCAACAGCGTAAGCTTTCCACACTCTTATTCCACTCTCTTCGTATCTAAAGTTGTGTAACTCACTAAATTGTTTTATCTTCTGAACCTCAAGAATTTTGGATGACTCATCCAAAATGGCTACAGCCGCTGTCGTTCCTTTGACAGGCCGTTCCTTAAGGGCCTCGTGCATTGCTCCTACGTTCATGATGTCATGGCCTTCCGCGCAATACTTTCTTATGGCTGCTTTCATGGGACAAAGCACCCTGTCACAAACATCCTTTCCTTGCTGGGGTTCTGAAAAATCATAACGTGCAACTGTAATTCCCACTCGATCTCCAATATCTTTGACTGCTGCTATTAGGTGATTGCAATGGTAGCAGCCAGCCTCGTCAGAACGTAGAAATGCGTGCTTAACATTTGGAAAATTTATTTTGATGTTTTGAAAAAGGTTTTCTAAAATAGATACCACCGCATACCAATCTTGACAACACGAATCTAATAAATGGGCATACGACAGGACCTTAGCTTTCTGCGTTTCTTGGTCTTTTGAGATCACACTGCTTATATGCCAGCTAAGGCCTCTTTTAGCAAACCATTCACTTTGTTTTTCTCTGTATTTCATTTGAAGAAATTTCATCGCCCAGTCAATAACAACAAGGACTGACTGACTGTCAAGACTTTTGAGGGCTTCTTGTTTAGCAGATTCTTGGTTGACAGAGCGTAAGGCATGAGATTTCCAAAGAAAAATGCAATTCTTAGATCTTTCAAAATCGTAAAGAAGATCATGCTTTTGTTCTTGGCTGTAAAGATGGCTGGAGTGTTTCTTTATACTTTCTTCCATCTCGTCTAACGTTGCCTTCAATTGTTCGCATTGTTCACACACCATATTGTGTGAGTGTGAGCACTGATGGTTGAAGCATGGATCAACTGGATCGCTTAACGCAAATTTTCTGCAGTGGTCTGCGCACTCACTCTCCTCTGCTGAACAGTTCACTTTAAACTCCGTCTTCAGGTATCTTTTCCCATCGTTCAATTTCTTTGCCAGTTCTGTAACTCTTCTTTTGTCGGCACCAGCCTGATTCAGCTCTTCTAGAATACTCAACAGCCGCTCAAAAGATGCGACCCCTTCTGCTGCAATGTTGTCCAGACCACTGAGAGACTTCTGCTGTGAAGCCTCTCTCACTTCAAGAATGCGACAAAGGGTTGAGCGGCTAGCCGGTTCAAATGATTCTTCTTCGCAATGTTGAAGGTACTGCATAATCATGGTCGATCTAGTCACGGTCCGGATTACGTTGGGCATTGTTATTTTGCCTCCCCCATCTAAGGTCAGTGTTCGCGTTCCAAAGGCGACGTCTTGGTAGAAATAAGGACGGTTTGTGTCCAGACGTACTCGATGGCTGAATACTTTCGGGACATTTGACCCCGGCCCTCGTTTCCTTGCATGCGATCTCGCCCTTTTTATTTGTCTCAAACTTATCTTTTCATAAGGCTCGTGGAATTTCTGTAACAGCTTCATGGTATACCGATAAGCGTAGATGCTGAGTATTTGAATCTTAACATTTTTTGTCATGGCATCTCGATATGCGGACATCAAGGCAATAAGATCCTCGGTTGGTTCATCAAGATCGTTCGCGGTAGGCTGGTGTATCGCTTGAAAAAGTTTTTCGCCGTCTTTCGGAGCTATAACACTGCAGATTACTTCACATGCTTTCGTTGCTTTCTCTATGCAAGTTTTTCTTTCATCCGGTATTGCTTCCTC